AGAGAGAGAGAGAGAGAGAGAGAGAGAGAGAGAGAGAGAGAGAGACACTCTTAAGCAGGGTCCACACTCAGCATGGAGCCTGACGTGGGGCTTGATCCCATAACCCTGGGATCATGACCTGAGCCAAAACTGAGAGTCGGATGCTCAACTAACCAGGCCACCCAGGTGCTCCCACAAGTTATCTCTCCATCCATTTGTGGATATATAAGCTACTATTCTATTATCACTTCCACTTTTTGGCAAGGGAATTAAGCTCAAAGAGGTTAAATAACACGACCAGGTCACGCAAGGTACGCAGTGGAGTGTTTACTTCTCCATCCCGGCTCTTAACCAGCATACCAGCATTAATTAAGGGCTTACTAAAATACAGGAACTGTGGCCACCTGAGCCATTAGCGGTGACAAGTGGGGGTGCCTCTGTGTCCCTCTGCACATGCACGTGAAGGGACAGGAGTCCCTTCTCCCTGCACTGCCCCTTTCACCTCCATCCTTGATCCCATGCCTTCCTGACCAGAACTGTGGCTCCGTTTGTGGCATCCTCCCTTTCTCTTGTCTCTGTCTTGTTATGCGTTCTCTCTTATCTTGGCCAGAGGTGGGGAAGCACATCCCCTCGTGCAGGACCAAACTCCTCAGCAAATGTGACCTCAACTTCGTGGACACTCACTCCCGCCCAGTGCCCACCATCCTCTCTCTACTCAACTGTCGAGGAGGCCTCAGGGTCAGCAAGAGTCCCAGGTGGGCCTCTTCTCAACAGGGCACCATGGGGGTGGGGGGTGGGAGGAGGGAACGTCCTCCACAGACCTCCCAGGGTCAGGTACCTCCCAAGGTCACAGGGCCAGTCACAGGAGCTAGCGGCTGAACATCATGGCACAGGGCCTGGCCCACGTGAAATATTTGTTGACATCAGCTTGCAAGGTCAGTTCATGATGTTTAGAAGCTAAATCAAAAGGTCCTGTTGGCATTTTTAGCACCAGGGCCAATACATCTGTGTAAGAACAAGCCAGATGCCATTATCAATTCTGCAGCATTCCAGAATTGAAAGTCCTATTTGAGCAAGCTTTCTAAAAAGCAAAAGGAAACATTTTAAAGTTCTTCTCTGCTAACAAATCAATAACACTGCAGGAATTGCCATAGTACACAGAAATCGCACACATCTTCATATCAGGGTTAGGAGTTGGTGAAAACAAGGTTGAGGGATATGTTTCTACCGTCTTGACGATGACCACCCGTTCGCCCAAGAAAGAGACGTCCTGTAAGATCACCTCTGAAAGAAGTCCTCCATTCTGTTAGCTCATTCAGCATCAAAGCGATACGGGCAGAAGGCACTTACAGGGAATCATCGGCTTTGACAGAAATACTGGCCTGATGTAATGGGTTATTCTGAATACTCCTAAGAAAATGCTATGCTGTTTTCAAGGAACAGACACATTCATAAAAATGATTATTCACAAACTGTCAGCACCAAAAAGGCCCCTATCAAAGTACGCAAGGTTTCCATCTTTTTTTTTTTTTTAATTCTTTAATGTCTATTTATTTTGGAGAGAGACAGACAGAGTGGGAGCCGGGGAGGGGCAGAGAGAGAGGGAGACACAGGATCCGAAACAGGCTCCAGGCTCCGAGCTGTCAGCACAGAGCCCGAGGTGGGGCTCACACCCATGAATAGCGAGATCACGATCTGAGCCAAAGTCGGACGCTTAACCGACTGAGCCACCCAGGCGCCTCATCTTTCTTTTTAACACCGTAACATTGTTTCTTAAACGAAACCTTGTGGAATTCTCTTCAGAAGCCAAAGGAGGTTGCAGGCCGATTTCCTAAAACTTCAGTCCACGTTTTGTTGTTGCCTTTCCTCTTGTCTGTTTCAAGTCCTGAGAGCCGGGGGCAGAGGGAGGCAAGGAGAGAGGGGGACAGAACAGGGGAGAGAAGAGGGAGAGGGAGAGGGAGAGCTTCTTTACCCTCCAAACATTACGCACTGTTTTCAGTCCTGTTTTGAGACTAGAAAACTGAGGCTCACAGAGATGAAGAACTTTGCTGTAGGTTCCGGAGCTGGGACGGGAGCCCACACGGAAGCAGGAGGGATGGAGGCAGGCGCCCCTTCCCCATTTACTGGTGGGAAACCCATGAGCCTTTGCATGCATGACTCCGGGGAGGGGTGCAGCTCCAGTAATGCCTGGAAGGGAAATTCTTTGCCCTCCAGAGGCAGATAGGATATAGTCGGATCTAATTAGACTTAAACTTTCTTTATTTTTTTTTTTAATTTTTTAATGTTTATTTAATTTTGAGAGAGAAAGAGAGAGGGAGTGGGGGAGGGGCAGAGCGAGAGGGAGACACAGAATCTGAGGCAGGGTCCAGGCTCGGAGCTGCCGGCACAGAGCCCCACGCAGGGCTCAAACCGATGACCTGCGAGACCATGACCTGAGCCTAAGTTGGAGACACAACCAACTGAGCCACCCAGGTGCCCCTCAATATTCTTTTTTAAAGAAAGGTGACCACTGCACACCAGAGTTTATGGTCTAAGAGGATTCTCCTGTAATTATCAACAGGCAAAGCTATCTGGGTGAGACAGAACTTGGAGATCCATTTCGGTCTTGCCTCGATTTTCTACACTAGTTTGTCCTCTTGTTCAAAAAATATATTGAAGTGCTTCTTTGCTCTTTGGCAGAAATGAGAACAGACCCAGTCCCCTGGTTTCCAGTTGGGTTTCTCCTGTTGGAACCTGGATTTTCATTACCTCCTGTGTTGATGTGATGGTTGCCTGACCCAGATCCAAAAAAACCCACACGAGTCTAGGGGCGCCTGGCTGCCTCAGTCAGGAAGAGCCCACGACTCTTGATCTCGGGGTCGTGAGTTCCAGCCCCACACTGGGTGTAGAGATGACTTAAAGAAATAAAACTAAAAAAGAAGAAGAAGAAGAAGAAGAATCCATACGAGTCTAATCCCAAACCCACAAAACTTCAGCTGATTCCTCAGCTTTCTTTGTCCCCCTGAGGGGATACTGTTCATTGTCCTGCTTAGAAAGCCATGGCTATTATGGCCCATTTTCATTTTTGTACTTGGATAACTTTGAAGTTATTGCTTCCCCAATTTTACCTCAGAAGTACCCCAATAGAGGGGCGCCTGGGTGGCTCAGTCGGTTAGGCATCCGACTCCAGCTCAGGTCATGATCTCACGGTTTGTGGGTTCGAGCCCCGCATTGGGCTCTGTGCTGATAGCTCAGAGCCTGGAGCCTGTTTTGGATTCTGTGTCTCCTCCTCTCTCTGCCCGCACCGCCCCCCCCTCCATGCTCATGCTCTCTGTCTCTCAATAATAAATAAACGTTAAAAAAAAAAAAAAAAAAAGAAGTACCCCAACAGCAAAGGAGAATGACTGTATCCAGGGGTGTACCCATGGAAACTCCATTCTCAGCCCAACACCTCTTTAAAGTACAACAGTTTATCTTTAAAAAAAAATTTTTTTTAATGTTTATTTATTTTTGAGACAGAGAGAGACAGAGCATGAATGGGGGAGGGGCAGAGAGAGAGGGAGACACAGAATCGGAAGCAGGCTCCAGGCTCTGAGCCATCAGCCCAGAGCCTGACGCGGGGCTCGAACCCATGAGCCGTGAGATCGTGACCTGAGCCGAAGTCGGACGCTCAACCGACTGAGCCACCCAGGCGCCCCAACAGTTTATCTTTAAAGCCCAGGCCGAGTGGGCTAACAGTAACAATGGTGGCGGCTGAAACTTACTGAGTCCTTGCCAAGCAAGAGGTGGGTTTAGGTGCTCTGTGTTTGTTTCCCTGGGAAATCCTTCGTGGGTAGCCCCACAAAGCAAGTACTGGTGGTTTGTCCTCATTTTGCAAGAGACTGTAGCACAGAGAGGGTAAGCAACTAGACCAAAGTCACACAGCTGGCCAGGAGAGAGCCTGCGTTCAAAGGCGGGCAGCCAGCTTCAGGGCCCTGGCTGTTCATTTCTGTGTTCGAGAATTTTCTAGTGGCAGTGGCAGTTGTGGCCCCCAACCCTGCCAGGGCAGGGACGTCTGGAGACACCTGTGGTTGTCACAAAGGGGTGTGTGTGTGTGTGTGTGTGTGTGTGTATTACTGGCACCTAGCGGGTAAAACCCAGGGATGATGCTAAACACCTCACAGTGCACAGAAGAGCTCCTACAACAAAGAATTATCCAGCCCAGATGCCAACCAATACAGCTAAGGTTAAGAAACCCTGACCTAAAAATATTTCAAACTACTTGCTAATTGCTTATTTTTCTTTCTAAAACTTCTCCAAAAACTGCCATGCTACCCTGCGGCTTCTTGTCCCCCTGAACATCACAATCTTCAAAGTCCATTTGAGAATCCGTGGCCTCAAAATGCGTGCACGCGACGGGTTTTGGTGGGGTTTTCGAAGGTCCTGGAACTTTAATGGCAGGGACCTTTCTGTCACCTACCTTCTCCGACCGGAGGGTGAACAACAAATGGAGTTTTCCTTCTTTCACCAGCAACGGTAAAAGGACGGAGTATTTGTCATACGACAAATGAGAGTATCTGGTCCCAGCATCATGCTCTTTTAAGCGGGCCTTCGCATCATCTATCAGACTGTTTCTGAAACGGAAACAAACAAAACACTTCAGTAACCAGAGGTGTGGGAAAAAGCTCCCAGTCCTGCCTATGTTTCTGTTGTGTTGTGCATCTCGGAGCTTACCAGGGCTGACTCTCACTGTATTTGTCGATAACATGGCAGGAATAATACTCTCAGCCCAATGGCATGACCGGCAAGATAAAATGAGCAAAAAAAAAAAAAAGGCTAAGAATACAGTTTAGTGCATGGTTTCACTCTGGAAATTAAGTAGAAATTATGGTAAAAGATTCTTTCAAAACTGCAACAGTTAAATGTTGCAATCCTTGATAATACTCCAGTAAGACAGGTTTGGTAAACAGGTCATTGTCGTTAAGTTAGAACTCTCTTAGCCTGATCCTTATGTCATCAAACCCTTAGGTCTTCAATTGCCTTAAAGGTCCCAAAAATCTAGTGACAACAGATTCACCGTGTTACAACACAGATTGCTAGGCCCACCCCTAAAGCAAGACTGGGTAAATTTGGGGTGGGGCCTGAAACTTAGTATCCAACTCCCAAGCAACCAGGATGCTGATGCTGTGGACCAGAGGAACCCCCTTTGAGAGCCATTACCTGACAATATGCAAGTATTTGGATTTGTAACCACATTTGGTGCCCCGAATTCATGACTTTGAATGTTCTGGTCTTTTTGACCGGTGTATTTTGTTGCTGGTTTGTGTAGTAGCTTAAATAGTGTCCCCCCAAATTCATGTCACCCAGAAGGCTCAGAATGCAACTTTATTTGCAAGCAGTGTCTTTGCAGGTGGAATCACGAGTCTTAAGATGAAATCATCCGGGATGTAGGGTGGGCCCTACATCCAATGATTGGCATACTCATAAGAAGAGAGGACATAGAAACACACACACACAGAAGAAGCCAATGTGAAGACAAAGGCAGAGATTAGAGTGATGTGGCCACAAGCCAAGGAACATCAAGATCCATCGGAAGCTGCAACAGGCAGGAAATTCAGACGTCTGGGCTTCAGGACTATGGCAGAATGAATTTCTGTTGTTTTAAGCCATCAAGTTTGTGATACTTTGTTACAGCGGCCCTAGAAACTAACAGTTTGGTTTCAATTTTTCTCTGGGAAAGGCAATTTTGCAGAGTGGGCAAAGTCAGATATTTAAGGGGGGGCAGAACTGCTTGTAAAGTGTTTTGGAAGGACTTCTCCAGGCCTTGCTTTCCTCATCTGTGACCTGCTTGAAGGTATCTGTAAACACGTCGTGACTGCTGTCATAAATGTGTCCGGCATTAGGTGGGCAAGTTGTTTGGGGAAGGTGTTTTGTTGTTTTTTTTGTTTGTTTGTTTTTTGCCTCTTTCTTCATGGCAGGATGCTCACTAAAGCTGGCTGGGTGCCAGCAGTGGATTTCAAAAACGACCAAAGGCCTTTCAGAACCACAGCAAGCGGGCACTGGAGGGGGCTCCTGGGTGTACCCCATGCACACAGGCCCACGTCCAGAAAACTGGCCCGCCAGAGTGTGCACTGGACCCACCGACTGTGGCTTTTTAAGAGGCCCCAGAACCGATCAGAGGGACCAGCAGAAGCAAAACTGCAAAAACGTGTGTGTCCACATTAGGGGCTGGCTGGAATAACCACCAAAAAACCACCACCGTAGCAGCCACCCGGTTCTGAGCAAGGGCTCGTCCCACGCATTCCACGCTTTTCTCTTTCTGTCCCCACAACAGCCCGGGAGAGGTTAGGACTGGGTCCCGCCCAGGCTCAGAGAGGTTAGGTAACTGCCAGACCCTGGAGGTGGCCACCGCGGCCTTGAACCCGGAGCTGCCTGGTGCGGGCTCCTGGTTTCTGGGATGGAACTCCGGAGAAGACCTAAGCTGAAGAGGAAAGGCGGCTGGGCAGGAGAAAGGGGTGCGACCCTGCGGGGCCGGGTGTGAGCCCATGGGTGCAGAGGCCCCGCGTCCCCGCGGGCGGCCCGGGTGGCGAGCGCACCGAGCGCGGGCTCCGCAGGTGGGTAGATGGGCGCGGCAAGAAAAGTCCCGGCCGAACGACCCCGCCGCCGCGCTCGGGGACGGCCGGGCCCTGCTCGGAGTGCCAGGGACCGGGGGACTTTACCTGACAGGCTCCGGGGAAGAACGAGCTGGAGACATCTCCGGGGCAAAGTTTGTTTCCCCACCGCAACTCCTAGCTCGCGCTCTGCCGAGTGGGCATGCGCAGAGCAGCCGCGACCTGGGGCGGGGAGAGAGGCGGGGCCTATGGCCTTAGGGGGCGGGGTGGGGCGGGGTGGGGCGGGGTGGGGCGGGGCGTAGGGCCAGGCCGTAAGGGGACTCGCTAAAGCAGTTTCCGCCCAGCTTCTTTTTCTTTTTTCTTTTTTTTAATATATGTTATTGTCAAATTAGTTTCCATACAACACCCAGAGCTCATCCCAACAGGTGCCCTCCTCAGCGCCCATCACCCACTTTCCTGTCTCTCTCACCCCCCATCAACCCTCAGTTTGTTCTCAGTATTTAAGAGTCTCTTATGGTTTGCCTCCCTCCTTCTCTGTTTGTAACTTTTCCCCCTTCCCTTCCCCCATGGTCTTGTCAAGTTTCTCAAGATCCACATGAGTGAAAACATATGGTATCTGTCTTTGTCTGGCTGACTTATTTCACTTAGCATCACACTCTCCAGTTCCATCCACGTTGCTACAAATGGCCAGATTTCATTCTTTCTCTTTGCCAAGTAGTATTCCATTGTATATATAAACCACATCTTCTTGATCCATTCGTCAGTTGATGGACATTTAGGCTCTTTCCATAATTTAGCTGTTGTTGAAAGTGCTGCTGTAAACATTGGGGTCCAAGTGCCCCTATGCACCAGCACTCCTGTATCCCTTGGGTAAATTCCTAGCAGTGCTATTGCTGGGTCATAGGGCAGATCTACTTTTAATTTTTTAAGGACCCTCCACACTGTTTTCCAGAGCGGCTGCACCAGTTTGCAAGCTCCTTACTCTTCCACAAGAATGGGGAGCCTATGAGAATTCTGAGGTTGAAGGGGGAAAATGCAGTGCAGGTGATTTAAAAGGATTCTGAAACTGCATTCACTGTTGCTAGGAGGTTAAGTTGGTTCAGCTTCTCTGAACAGCAGTCTACACATGTTTACTGACCACCTACCACGTGCTTGGGCAGATCGCATAGCCAGCAAAAAGTCGCATGGAGCCAGCCTGCAGACAAGTGCACAAGAGAAACGTGGATCAAGCCATTCCATAGATAAAGCAGATGCCTTTGTCCTTGGAGAGCATATGAGGGAGAAACGCGAGTGAACCAGGTCAGAGAAGGCTCACCAGAGAGAATGGACACCCACCGTCCTCTAGAGCAGCTGTGCTCCATGTGTGGTCCTGGGACCAGAGCATGAGCATCACCTGGGCGCTGTTAAAAATGTATATTCTGGGGGTGCCTGGGTGGCTCAGTCTGTTAAGTATTGGACTTAGCCTCGGGTCCTGCTCTCACGGTTGGTGGGTTCGAGCCCTGTGTCAGGCTCTGTGCTGACAGCTCAGAGCCTGGAGCCTGCTTCAGATTCTGTGTCTCCCTCTCTCTCTGCCCCTCCCCACTCATTCATTTTCTCTCTCTCTCTCTCAAAAATAAATAAACGTTAAAAAAATAAATGAAAAAAAAAGTAGATTCTTGGGTTCCCCCCAGAGCTCCTGCATCAGAAGCTGGGGGTAAGGCCCAGGAATCCAGGCTGTAAGGAGAGTGAGATATTCAGAGAGCCCCTGCTCTAAGGTATGTTTGGAAAGTAAATAAGGGGAGAGGGTTCCAGGAAGAAGACTGAATTTGTACAGAGACCCCATGACACTCGTAAGACATCAGACTTCAAAGACTGGCGGCCCAGGAGGTACACGGTAACTTTGGGGGCTCACAAAAATGTTCCAGTTCTAATTTCTTCAAAATTAGTTTTTTTAATGTTTATTTTTGAGAGAGACAGAGACAGAGACAGAGTGTGAACGGGTAAGGAGGAGAGAGAGAGGGAGACACAGAACCCGAAGCAGCCTCCAGGCTCTGAGCTGTCAGCACAGAGGCTGACGCAGGGCTTGAACTCATGAACTGTGAGATCATGACCTGAGCCGGAGTCGGATGCTTAACCGACTGAGCCACCCAGGTGCCCCTTTACATTCTTTTAAAATCAGAAGAAAAAAGATGGATGCAATAATAACCAATATGTAATAATCAATCCAGCCTGGGTTATATCCACTTTATACCAGTGCAGTCATAAAATATGTTATTATTATTTCATGGAGGAAGGGGTCCATGAAACCAAAATTGTCTAGAGCCCATGAAATATCACTGTGTGGCCCTCAGTCGTGGGACAGTTGAGCCATACTTCTTAAGACTTTTAAAACCACTGAACTCAGATGTTCACCTTGCCAGTCCTGGCACGGCTGAGAGCCCAAACTAAAAGCTTGTTGGCATCCAAATGATAATGTTAATGGCACCTTCACCCACATTAGTGTGAACTTAATCCTTTGAGCAACCACACAACAGAGAGTTATCTCCACAGAGAGTTATTTCCTCACTTTCCAGATTAGGAAATTTAAAAAAAAAATGTCTTGGTGAGGTGACACAGCTAGAGTTCAAGATCAGACGGTTCTGACCTCTGTGCTCTTTTATTTTGACATCACTTCCCAGAGGCAAGTGACTATGAATTATGTGGCTCTGACTGTGAGTGAGGAGATAAATATCCAATACCCACCGTGTAGCAACTATGGGCTAGACATGTCTAACATGGGGCCCCTTGACCTCTAAAGCCTCCTGGTCTATTAGGGGTGATAATCAACATGATTCTCAACTCTAGCAATGCACAGTATTCTCTCAGCTCTGTATGAGAGGGGATGGGAGACTGGTTCCGAGAATGAAATGGAGGGCTGAACATCACCGCCTGAGGATTTGGTTTGCTCTTTGTTCAGGCGTCCTTTGTCTGAATCCTCGTTCTGAAGATGACTAAACTGTGGCTCAGCGTGGTTGAGTGCCTTGCTCGTGGTCTCAGAGCAAGTAAATGGTGGAGCCTAGTTTCGAGCCCGTCCGATTAACTGCATCCGGCACTCCAGTGGGATTTGAGAGGTAGGTGGGATTTCAAAGAGGCCCAGGTGGGGAAGTTGACATTCTGGGCGGAGGGAACAGCAGAAGGCAGCGTGGGAGGGGTCTTGCTCAGCATAGCACACGGGAACAGAAAGGGACATTTTTCAGAATGGATCTCTGGGAACAGATGAAAAGGCTTTGGAAGCCAAAACAAAATGGAGGTTGAACTTCTTCCAGAAGGGAGCAGAATAACAGGTCTGGGTTTCCCAGGAGATCTCTGTGGAAGCAGAGTGGGAATGAATTAAAAGTAGGGAGTGAAAGTAGGGGGGCGAGCAGGGGGCTCTTCCAAAAGTCTGGACCCAAGGAACAGAAAAAGATGCTTTGGACGTCCAGAAAAATTCACATAACCCCAACATGAGAAAGAGCGTGGCAGGGGTCCAGGTTGCTTTAACGTAAAATGCGGCATCCCGAGACGCTTTGCTGTGTACCAAGGCCCTGTCCACAGCATCTTCTTTCAAGATCAGATATACTGCTGTAAAAACATTTCGTTTTTATGGCTTTTTAAGGCTGGAAGCCACAGCCACAGGGAACATCACAAGGTGAAGTACATCATAATAAGATTATATATGTATGGGTGTGTGTATATCTCTGCACCTGCAAAACAACACAGGCTTCAAGGTTAACGGGCAATGTCTTTTAGGGGAAATGGCTTGTCTCTGTAGTTTCTGTGCACACATTTGTTGGTAGTGACATAATTCTGGAAAATGCGTAAAAGAGAGGCAAAGCTGTAACAAGGTCCAGGCCAGCCTGCGAAGCCAACACCTCCCTGGTGTTTCTCTCAAAGAAGCACATCCCAGGCTGCAGGGTGGACCTTATCTGCAGCCCACCCATCTGGAACCTTTATTTGAGCAGCACCCCATGGCCAGGCCTGGGTGGCACAGAGATAAGAAAATACCAATCAGCCTTCAGGAGCAAAGGATATCTGGGGAAAAGACCTACAACAAACAATTAACTTTATTGCCAGATGAGTGCTTTAATCCCGGAAAAGGGCTAAATGCTCTGGGGGATGAGGGGTATAGCAAACAATGAATTCTGCCGGACACAGGCAGTGGGGTCCAAGTAGGCTGTGGCGAGAAGGGAAACTACCGGGGAACGCGTACTGAGCATTATTCTCCTGGGAAATCTGAGTTTCCTCCATCCCTTCAGTTTGTGGGAGGGGCTCTAAATCCTTAGAAGGAAGTCACAGGGGAGTGTCTCCCCAGTGCATCCGATGGATCCGAGTATACTGGCTGCAACTGCTGGGTTGGGGATTTGCGAAGCAGACGCTTCCCACCCCCCCCCCCGCAACTCTGCCAACGCACAGCCCCATCCTCCATCAACTCTCCCCCACCCCAAAATCAGACAGAGTTGAGGAGCCACAGTCTTCCCCCACTTTTAAGGAGAGGAAGTTGAAGGAGTTCTTTGAGGACCGGGTTTCAATAGGAATTTCTCTGCAGATCGGACGGCGGGGTGGAAGGGGGGGAGCTCAGCATCAAAGTCATTTGGGGGAAAGGATGCTGCATGGACACCTCAGTGCCCCAGATCGCACCCCACAGACACTTATCTCAGAGTAAAACCCACCCAGGAACATACATTTCTTTTTTGTTGCTTAAGGTTTTAAAAAATTTTTTTTATTTATTTTGAGAGAGAGAGAAAGAGAGGGAGCATGAGCAGGGCAGGGGCAGAAAGAGGAAGAGAGAGAATCCCAAGCAGGCTCTGCACTGAACCCGATACGGGACTCAAACTCACGAACCGTGAGATCGTGACCTGAGCCAAAATTGACTGAGCCAGCCAGGTGCGCCAGAGCATCTAGATGATTCTGTTGTAAAGGTCGAAGTCACTGGTTTAAGGGCTCCAAAGGGAGACGTTTGATATTGAGAAGATAAAGCCCCCTCCTTGTAGCACTTGCTGATGTGGCATCCTCAGAGGAGACGACAGGTGGTGGCCACGAGTGCCAGGAACTACCACTTCTGGTGCCACTGGAACATTCTTCCTCCCTGGTCTTGGGAGCTGGCAATTTGGGCAGATTCGTCTCAGGGGAGGCCCCAGGGGAAAGTTGAGTGATTGTTTTGTAGAAAGTGGGCTGGAGTGGACTGATCCCTACATAACGTGGTCCTTGCCTTTTTCTTT